TAACAAGTAAGTAGGTAGAGATTAATTTACCTGAACCAAAACTGGTTATAAAAAAATTATTGGGTTCCATCTAAATAATAATTGTTTTTACTGTTAACGGTTAAGCTTGGATACAGATTGTTTTGGTAGTAAACTAAAAAGTACAAGGCCATAGCATTTGTATAAAACCTTTGAGAACTTAGCGATGTCGGTGCCTATGACGCGACGCATCGACGGGCGGTGCTGCGCTGCGCGGAAGCCTGCACCCGGTGTCTTTGCCGACAATGCCGACGCCCCACACTACATCAGTTTTTTTCATATGACTAATCAAATATATATTTATAAACCTTAAGAAACATACTTAAGTTTTTGTTTGAAACATTTTGCGTATTTTATTTGGGAAAAAATATATAGAGGGTAAAACAAAATTGTGTACTCTTAAACATAAACATTGTAAAAAAGTTTAAATGTTATATCTCTGTGGATATAGTTTTATAAGAAAATCTTTAGTACAACAATTGTAGATAAACTAATTATAAAAAATACAAACCAAATTTCACTACGATGGCATGCGTAGAATTTGAATTATATCCAGTACAGTGAGCGACTGTAATTTCCAGGTTATGAGGTGGTTTTGGGGGGGGTTGGGGGGGGGGAGAATCGGGAACTTTTAGAATATACACGTCTTAAGTGGTTCCATCACATATAACAAACTCAGCTTTCCACTATTTAGCGACGAAAAAAGGCAGTTGGTGCGTTTATTGGCTGGGCTAGATGCGATGACGCAGCGCAGAGGTGTTCAACTAGCGCGCACGCGCTCACTTTGCCGACGCTCAGCTCTTCACCCGGTCACCTAGATGACTAACCAATAATATATTTGTAAACCTTGAAAAACGTACTAAGACTTTTGTTTGAACCATATTTGCGTATTATTTATATTTAAAAGTATACATAGAGAAAAACAAGATTTTGCACTCTGAAACAAAGCTTTTACCGAAGTTTAAATTCTATATCTCCCTAAGTATTGGTTTTAGAAAAATGTTTTGAATACAAATGTTGTAGGAAAACTAATCAAAAATAAAATAAAACAAATTGCAGCTCGATAGCTTACATAACATTCGAATTATGATCAATTAAGTAAATCACTGCAATTTCTATGTTTGGAGGGGGGTGGGGGGGAAAGCTCAAGGGGTAGAAGTGGGGACTTTTGGGAAAATACACCTCTTATGTGGTTCTATCACATATAAAAAATCCAGCTTTCCACCATTTAGTTGCGAAAAAGGCTGTTTTATTGCATTCATTGACTGGGCTAAATAGGTACAACAATGAACTAATACAAACTCAAAACCCATAAACTAAGACAACTGTATAAATTGAAATTGTCGTACATTTGTGAAAAATTCGGAAAAATGCTACAATAGTCGCGGTTAGGCCGACTAGAGCATTGAAAGGTCCCCTGAAATCCACCCATCATTCGGGATTTCCATGACTTTTTTCCTATTTCCATGACTTTCAATGACCATAATTTTTTCCCATGACTTTCCATGACTATCCCTGACTTTCCAGAATGTGTACACCCTGTACTAGTTTAGCGGCGACCCTATCGTCAGTTTTCCAAATCCAACCCAAAACGAGACTTACATGAGCCTGAGCTTTGGACTAGCCTTTGTATCTGTCTTGCTCAAACTTCGCGATACCTATACAAGATTCACCACACATCTTACACCTCCGATAACAGCCCCTGTTGACAGATCCATCTCTGGCGGAGCGCCCGTCAGTTAAACACTAAACATTACCCAACCTAACCTATACTTCCGAGTGCGGCTGCCAAATCTGTTATTTTCGCGGCCCCTAATTACTACACGTTAGCCTCCACGAACACGGGGACTCTGCCAAAAGGGAAAAACAATGTGATAGTTTTAAGTTTGAGGAATTCAATATTGAACTAGCGTTGAATTTATGGTGAAATTCATTCAGTTTTTTTGTCCTAGGACGCTAGGCACGAGCCTGGGATTGTTTTTCACATTACTTCAGGCTAGACCTAGGGGTTGCGGCATTATAACTTAGATAAAATCCATTGGTGATTTGGCGGGGATCGAACCCGGGACCTCAGGGACTGAAGTCCCGCGCTCTAACCACTACACCAGCTCGCTTCCCATTCAGTTTTTCTTAGATCTATTAAATATTTTTGTTATGAAATACTTTTATTAAAAAGGGTTATTTAAGCTTCTAAATCTGTACAACTTAAGTATGATGATTGTCTACCAGTACAAGACTGATTTATAGTTATACGAATGTTCGTTAGAGTTCATAATCGTAAAAACATTTAACAAGTTGGGTCAATTCCCAGACATACGGTGGTTGGAATGTTGGATTTCATTTATCAACATTTCATCAACAGATTCTTTCCAAGGCCTGAGTAGTTTCTCGATATCCGACCCTGCAAAAGGTAAATGGAACAAACTTCTTCGATACGTACTTTGGCCATCTGTGGTTCATTGGCACATTACACAAAATGGTTTTCGTACTGGAGTGCGTATGTGTTATATTTTTAATGTTTTCTCTTCACAAACAACACATACTGTAAGATTTTTAATTTGAAATCAAACTTTTCCTCGTTTTACGCTGACATTTTCTCGATTAGTTACCCTCGTATCCGACTGAAGGCCATGCAAAATAATTATAATACTTAAGTATGAATAGTCAAAAATACCGTATATATCTCTAGGGCAGGTATGCGCTATATATATCTCTTATACCATATATATTTTATACCATACATCGTTGTCAAAGACACTCTAAAAATAGCGAATACGAAAAAAGTGTTACAGGTGTAGACTCCGATTCCACATTTTATTTGTTTACCCTGACTAATATAAGGTACCAAGGGTAATATTGTAACCAAAAGGGGGATTTGGGGGGCAACTCAAATATTTTAAATGTAAACCAAGTGACACCTCATTTTGAAGTGTTTACAAAAACTTAAAGAATGGGGAAAACCAGAGTTCGCTATCTCTTCTCTATCCAAAATGGTAGCCCGTCAAATGTTGTGGAAAATCAATGGTAAAATTGGTTCGTAATGGTAATATTGGCTACCATTTTGGATAGAGAAGAGATAGCGAACTCTGGTTTTCACCATTCTTTAAGTTTTTGTAAACACTTCAGAATGAGGTGTCACTAAATGGGGGTTTACATTTAAAATTGTTGAGTGTCCCCCCAAAAGGGGGGATTGGGGGGTAACTAAAAACTTTTCAATGTAAACCCCCATCAAGGGACTCCTCATTTTGAAGTGTTTACAAAAACTTTAAAATGAAGTGTCACTTGAAGGGGGGTTACATTTAAAATATTTGAGTTACCCCCCAAATCCCCCCTTTTGGGGGGATACTCAAAGATTTCAAAATCACAAAATGAAACTTCTTGCTAAGATTGCACGACCCCCAAAAGGATATCTCTAATTATTTACTTGGAAAAATATTATATGGGGGGGGGGGGTCTTGACTTTTTATCCACCCTGTAGGTCCATAACAATAAGATATTCTGGATCTCCACTATGTACATTTTCAGACAAGTACCCCCCGTCGTCCAGTGACGCTCTTACAAGCACTAAACGTGTAAATCCTTGTGTCGTACACGTCGTGTTGTTGTTGACGAAACAGACATTAAGACAGTAAAAATACCAACAGCCGCGACCCTTGAGTCGGCGCCAACTAGTTTTTTGCCACGTCCAATCTTCGGTGACACATGGGTACAGAATAAACCAGCCAAAGGGGGTTAAACTCTTCCGAATAAATTACTTAATGATGCGTATAGTTTGGCCATAATTGAGAAAATATCAGCAGACACTGGAGGTAAGGCGTTAACGGTCACATATGTTATTACTATTGTGGTCAAGAATCTGGTCACATCACTAACAAGAATCGCTGTCGTTTCGACTTGGGAAATGAAATTAATAATTTAATAACACTTCACAAACAGCAGCACAATAAGTTATTGACATAATTTAACATAGTTCTTCTAAGTTCAGAAGTGCATGGTTAGTGATGTGACATGGTTCTATCCATAAATAATACCACTGACTTTGTATATTTAATATATTATCAACACGGACCGGTTGTAGCCAGTATTGACAGAGACCAACATAAGCTGAATGAGCATATCATAGACGGTATTATAGTACTACTATTTCAATTAAATATCCCCCTATATTTTTATATTAGTACATTAATGGGAACATAAAAAATACATAGTTTACCACAGGTTTACTTTTCAGCGTGGTAAACTGATTGCATGAGAAATGAAATCGCAATGCAAAGCTCACTCTGTCTGTGGTTTAATATAACAGATCGTTAAATTTTAATCAACAAATTTACTAAATAAAATAAAAATTTGTTCATTGTGAAGCATTCTCAAACTAGTTTCACTATCGACAGGTTAGCGGACTACCCGAGCGGAACACATTGTTGTATTGACAACAATACAGCGATGCTGTCAGCTGATCTAACAACAACCCATATGTTTTGAAGAATAAAAACCTCTACTACTAATAAGATACAGTCCAATGTTTTATAGGCTTTTGATACTGTAAATAGCTAAATCATTTTATTTTTATTGATTTTAGGAGATGAAACCCGAAGTAAATAGTACAGTAAAAACGAACTCTACATACACCATGCATTCGTTATCAAACTGCCTTTCTGAACTGACTTCATATCAAACCGTTGGGAATGTAATGTATGGTGATGGTCGAAAACCAGAAATTCCGAATTTCAAAACCGAAACCTGGCATAATTACACGATGAAAAACAAATCTGATATACTTTAGCCCGAAACACGTCGTTTTTAAACAACAAATCCTGGAATATATCTCATGGCGCTGACATAATAAAATGAGATCAATCCAATCGAATCAATGTATAATTTTGCATCTCGACGATTAATTATCGAAAGCGAACCTTTTCTGAAGTTTTTACTCGTTTTACACAGCGACAGCACTAGTAACGTCTAGGTTAGATGATACTTACATCCGGGGGACGAACAGCCATTCTTGAGAGTACATCTGTACGGTTGGTACGTGCCCGGGGTGATCTTCCCATACATCGTTCGGTCCACCATGGCTACTACACGTCTACACGACTAAAGCCACAATACAACACTAAACGCACTACACGCTCCAGACGACGCGGCGCGGACGGAAATACGCCCAGCGCGCCACACACCGGAAACTGTCACTTGCTCGATTTCGATCACTTTGTGCGCTTCGAGTGTTTGTTGTGTTTTGGCTACAGACTCTGAAAGTTGACTTACTGAAATGTGTTGCGAGAAAATCAAGTAAAAAAATTATCTTTTATGAGTCTTTTACAGAAGATCCAGAAACCTTTGGAGAGTTCTTATAACTAAGAAAATATTGGGCAAAGTGTTTTATCTCCATTTAAAGTGTTCTATCCAAAATCGCAAAGCTAGTATATTCTTGAATCCTAAGTAAAATAACACTACCCTAGTAATACTCCAGTTATTTAGGCTAACTTTCTCAGTTAAAAGTTTTAATCGTAACAAATATTTCATTTAACAGAATAGAGTATTTGATAGAGTGCGATTGATTTTGGAGGTTGTAAACTCGACAAAAATCAACTGGTCTTATAGTAAATTACCCTAATAACTCTAAAACTATTACTAATATTACTCTCTAGTAATAAATACAGTGCTCTTTAGTAAATTAGTGGGGAGCGAGCTGGTCTAATGGTTAGAGCGCGAGGGATTTCGGTCCCTGAGGTCCGGGGTTCAAATCCCGCCAGGTCACCAACGGATTTTATCTAAGTGATAATGACACAACCCCTAGGTCTAGCCTGAAGTAATAGGAAAAACAATTCCGGGCTCGTGCCTAGCGTCCTAGGGCAAAAGACTGCTCTTATAGTGTTTGTTTCATTCAAACATACGATAACTAACTTTTATTTTAACGCTAAAACTGTGTTTATGTGAGATTTTACTTTGGTTGTGTTTAGTAAAAATATACTAGTATTGCTAGTTAAATTACCTACCGTCCTATACAACATTGTACAGCTAGTGGGGCGTTTTAATCATTTGATAAAAATACTAAAACTGTGTTATAACAGCAATTTTCTCTTTCAAGACCTCCTCCTACCCACAGTAATAAATGTGAAGTTGAACTTCGTCTTACTTTTCACCTTTAAGGAATTTAACACATAATACACAGCAGTCTCTAACCTAACCAGAGTCTTCTTACAATAAAGTATACGGTAAAATTTACTTTCGTTGAGAGAAATTCATTAAAAGAACACAAAAGTAGGCATTTAATTATTGTGATAAGACGTTTGAGTCAAGTGCCTTCAACATTCAAGATGGCAATTCCGTTATCATGAAAGAATTGTTACCGGAGTATAAAATTGTCATTAGCTGTTCTGACCTAGTCACCAAACAAATATTGGTTCATGATGATAAAATTGATAGTGCTTGGAAAATTACAAGTATCTCAAGCGGTAGGAACTACAATTGTTGAGTTCAAAATATAAAAGTGACTGAATTTATTTATTAGGCCTACTTCACTTATTCAAATGTGTATACAAAGAAGAAACTTCCAATACGAATAAGCCACTTAAAAAATACTTAATTTACTAATAGGTAAAGAAGGTTTCCTATTAAGTAATATTAATATTAATAGTAAGTAAGTTTTTTAAGTAGTACTGCAGTTTATAACGAGGTCTAGAGCCAACAAGGGAAGGTTGTGCACAAAAACAAAGTTTTACATAAATTTCAAAGAGATTATTCAAAAACTAATTAAATAACTTCTTGATCATCATCGTACGTGTTATTAAGTATAAGTGCAAATACATTATTACAAGTCAATTGCTATTTGACTATTTTTTGTACTTCCAGAGAAAAAATACAGTAAAAGAAATTACATTTTCCTGGAGCAAAAGTTAAAGAACTTAGCACATTTTAACAAAGTAAAACTTGAACTTACGATTCTACATACAAAATCATACACAATCATACAATCATACAAAATCGAGGATTTTGTAGAAGATTGAAAATTTATTTGAGATTCTCAGTGCTCATCGTCTTGTAGATCAATACGAAACCTTTATCAATTAAATGTCTCCATTTCATTTATTTTTAATCCACAATATTCCAAAAGTTATTTAACATCTTAGTTAAGTGCGTAATAATTTAACCAATTTTCTCGGCTTAATTGAATTTTTTAGTTGGTTTTGATTGTGTTATTAACTTTTACAAACATTGTAAAAAAATTTCAGGTGGCTGAGCGTATAGTAAATTTTAAATAATGTGGGGTTCTTCGGCAAAAGGTCAAGTATACGTCATTGATGACGACTAATAAATGGTGATGAAACCAAATACACTAATTTAAGGCTACGTATATCGGTGCGTTAACAATTTAAGAGCGATGCATGGATCTCCTCTGTAAAAGACACTCTTACCAGATAAGAAAACTACTTCGATACCTACAGTTTCAATGCCGTGTATAATATTTAAATTCACAAAACACATTTATAATGATTGCCGTCAACACTATCGCGAGTATGGTGATCCCGTAAGCGTCCATGATGTGTAGTGGTGTACTGAACAGCACAACGACCGAACACCGACTGATGCTACTCAGTACCGCGAGTTGTGTAAGCATACCGGTCAAGGTCAACATTTACACCCGAATTGGTCTCTTATCAGCGATATTCTTCCCGATTTACTTCTTCGCAACACACAAGGCAGGATGACTTTTATAATTATATGTAGTCTTTGGGATGATCTCCATATTGCCATTAAATTCCTCAATACGTAGTATATCCCAAAACGTGGCAATAATGTTATGTTATTATACTTGAATATGGAGATTTTACTATTGATCCTCCATCATTTTCAATCAGCAATCTATAAAATAGGCAAGCATGTTTCTTTAAAGCCTTTTTCCTCAGCTTATGTGCATCGCAGAAGAAATCTGCTCATACTGTTAGAAAGATATTTGCCTGTAGATGTGCAGAATGCCTCTTTAAATTAAAATAGACTAAACAATGAGCACAAAAAAAAACAATTTAAAATTTAAAAAAAATATGGGCCTTATGGGTTGCTATTCTGGCGACGACAGAACATCAAACAGAAAATTTAAATAAATGAAAGAAGAAATTCCAATCACGTGTTTTCTTTATAGCGAGGGGTGACAATAGAGAAGTCTGTATATTAAATATTTTTGGTAGATTTTTCAACCAATGGACGATCTCTAGTTGTTATTATTCAAAATTTAAAGTAGAACACGAAAATGACATCATATACTCAATTCCGTTTGAAGTTAATTGAGAGATTGCTGTATTGTGTTTAAAAACATGGTCATTTTATAACAAATTTAAATAATTCTGTGGGAAGCCAATTTTTTACTTAGAACCTCTTATAATGCATCATCACACTTCATTTACTTTGTACTTACTCACACCAAATAATTTTTGTAACACTGATGACCTTATGTCAGTTTGATATAGAGTTGCATACAAGGTGTATGTGTTTGTCTGATCCAAGTAATATTTATATGAAAGTCCATGTTATCCTAACTTTGCTTATCTAAATCAATATTTTTTTTACTTCATTTCATGGTACTTGATGGACACTCGTGATTGTTGTTAGACAAATACCATAAAGGGGTCTTTAGAAAATAATCCCTTAGGTAACTTCTTTTAAACTCTATATAACTTGTAATGACAAAAATACACAGTGTAAATAAAAGCAAAACTATGTTTGGTTGTTGATTAACTGTTTTATACATGTATTCATGTCTTTATTTACATCAGTGGCATTTTCAAAAGGATGGCACTTAAAACTTTTGGGAAAGCGATCCAAAACCTCAAATGTTTGTGGGTAATGGCAGCGATTGAACCCGTCCCTCTTCCACTGAATTCCAAGACAGTCCAAAATTTATTTTACCTCTTGTGTTAAGGGGAAATCGTATCTGTTCTTTGATAGAGGTTCGGTTGGATAAGGTTCTAAAACATGTTTATTTTCTTCAACTTGTAGCGTTATGGCCACTAACTGACTGACGGTGGGGTAATGTTGGTGATTAACGTTATGTAATGACGGTGGATGATGCGATACGATACTGTGAGACTAATTTAAGCGTGCTGATTCTGCTACAAAATTATTTACATGAAAGACGTGTTGGGGTCCAGAGGGCGGAGATCTTTTACCCAGACCGGAAGCTTGCATAGCCAGCTTTGATTTATGCTAATACAACTAATTTATTAAAAACTATCCTTCCAAAACTTGTGACCAAGAAAATGACTATTAATGAAATGATTGGTTGGTAATTGAAATACCTAAATCAGAGATAACTAAGAATTTACTGAGAAGAACTATGGAATTCTTCTGGGGAAAACCTGTTGCCCTAATCATGTTGAAAATGTTCCGAGGCTGAAGGCCTCGAACCGCAATTGTTTAATTTCTACAAAATTTCTGAAGTCCGGGCGACCCTTGTAGGTCTCCCCCTTGGTTGCTAACTAGCCTGACATACTAATCTAATATCTACTATAGTAATTATTCTAGGGACTTAGCCATTTAGGTAGGTTTTCTGGACGATCAGTTTTCCGAGACAACTTGTAGACAGGGCCTGGGTCGAAGTGGGGAGAGAACTGGAAAAGGTGGGTGGGGGAAGGTGTTGGCTTGTTCGCGGGGGTTGACGAGTTCACCTTGCAGCCCTGCCACGCGAAGCACTGACACTATAAGAAATATAGTGTGCCGCTATGCGTCACAAACTAATATCATTGTACAACCAATTACAGGTTAAAGGTCTGCGCTTTTAAAAGACCATCCCATATCCAGCAAAACACACCCCAAATAGGATGAAAAAACTTCTAAACAAACTTGAGTAATTCACTGTACACATTAACAGTGGAAGATAAGCAAAAACAAGGGGACACTTTCAGCTTACAACCCGGAAAAGTTAGTTTGTTAAGTTAAAACAAAATAAAAATCACTACCAACTGACAGATGGTTCACAGAACCGCTAAAACCTGTTCAAGATTTTATATTTTGGGCAAAATCGATTTTCAAAAATCAATGCACTAACTATTTCAACATTGGGGAGCAAGCTGGTCCGTTGGTAGAGCAATGATAAGGCTCGTCCACATAGGAAGATTTGTTTACTTAGTGAATTATTAGGAGTTTCAAGCGTCAAGCCTCATCCACAACAGCAAAAACAAACAGCAAACTGATTGCAGGTTTGTTTCCGATACAAGTTTGTCAGTTGTTTAGCACCTACAACAGGATGAGACCTCTAGCCCATACAGTAACAAACAAGATTGTTACTAATAATATAACAAAACAACTAAATAAATTAACTTAATTAAAATGTAACTAATTTAATTTATAACTAATAAAAACATTAGATAAATGAATAAATAAAGAACAGTTACATCGCTAAGGATAGAATATATAACTAACTGATTTAGATATCAATTTGATTATTTTTGTATTTTTAATGAGGCATGTGTGCATTACTAACGTTGAGACAACTCCCCCTTCCTCCACCACCATATAACACAGCGTAACGCTATGCCATATCCCCTCCCCTCCTTAAGTCTGTTAGGTAATAAGTGTATGGCCCCTAATCTACCAAGGTGGTATACAGAGAGTGCTTGACGGAGGATACACTTAATTTAACTTGAATGACGCCTAAAGATATTGAAATAATGCCTAACAGTCTGTGACAACGAGTTAGTACAACAGGCATAAATTACAGAGCTTCGATCCTAACCACACAGCTTCTTAGCAAGTGGTGGTCCTAAAGAGATTCAGGCATTGCGCCGAGACACTTTTTTGGAGCATTAACTGACTATGCACGTTACTTTCAGAGCAGTACCATTCGGAGTAATGCCTAACTAAGGTAAAACCCAAACTCCGAACGATTGAAGGAGTTTAGGTTGTTCCAGTGTATTTTTATTATATTGGGCTGAATCCAAGCTGGATTAATTGATTAAGGTTTATATATGAACGAATATTCAATTTTATATTACAAACAACAAGTATCACTATGTAAATACAGCCAAATTAGGTAATAAAAGTGCCGAACGCTTCAAACATGAATAGCTAATCACCAAACTCTGGACTCCCAAAAACAAAAGAGTTTTGTTTTCAAACACCAACTGGATTCATTTAATTGAACTACCGGTACTTTGAAGTCTTAAATAATGCCGTTGGAATTAAAAAAATTAAATCCCTGATGACGACTTTGAGCAATAAGCGACGAAAGAACTTGCACAACCACACAGGCACTTTGTTATGACTTTTTCCACAGTAAATCTAACCAACTAACACTAAACAGTCTAAAGGAAAACGCAATTTAGTATTACTGAATAGGACTGGTTTGCGTAAATGTCTATTTTGTCAATCTGAAAAAGGAACACAACTAAAGTACAGTAGACTCCCTCTTATCCAGACTCCTCGGGACCGAGGCCAGTATATATTAAGGTTTTTCCGGTTAAACCGACGTCCCTGAAAACTCTTTTAACGGACTGTTTAAATGCGTATTTGACTTAAATTTAGGAGAGCATTGTATTTAGACACGTGATCACTGGTCTCAAATCTTTCCCACGAGAACAGTCATTTCAGTACCGCCCACTTCCTGCCGATCTAGTACGGTTAAACCGATGTGCTGATAAAAATTATACGGATAAAGAGATGTCACTTCTACCGAGTGTGGTCAGGTTAAAAGGTGTCCGGATAAGAGGGAGTCTACTGTAATAGTACATGAAAATGGAATTTGACAATGTACAAAAGTGTATACTGACAACATCAAAACATATGTCCATATTTTTTCTTGATATGAACAAACCTGTTCTTTAGATAAGGCCGGCCGCACACTGATCAGACAAAACGTATTTCAACAAAACGTTTTGACGAAGGACGTCGGAAGCGAGTAGCCTACCATGCAGTTAAATGGAGGCATCACACACTGATGCGACAGAGGCTTCAGACGCCTTGTTTTGTCTGAAGACGTTTTTGGGTGTTTTGTGATCGCCTCCAATATTTCGTCTGAAGCCAAAACTCGGTCAGACAAACAGTTCTGCGCATGCGCGGAGGGTGGATACAATAAAACTTATCTATATATTATAATAATTTTTCTTACAGTTAGTAGTGATTCATTTTTGATCAATGCAAAAAATAATAAAACGTTATTTTAATTTCAAATATTTCAATTTATTCCATATATTGTATGGTAATAATTTTCTTTACAGTTAGTAGTACTTCATTTTCAATTTATACAGAAAATAATAACAATGTTATTTCAATTTCAAATATTTCAGCTTAAATTCCATTGTATTGTAGTAAATTTCTTTACAGTTAGTAGTCGTTCATTTTAGATTTATGCAGCAAAATACAAAAAATGTATGCTCTCTTCCTTCATTTAGTTCTGCAAGTTGTACAAAGCTCCACAACTGCTACTTCCACTTCCTCGTCTATTTTATTAACACCACACAATCTCTGGCTTTTCACAACACTGGTCTACGGGTGGCTGAGTTTAGTTTTTGTTTAACCTCTATGGTTATTAATTAATATTTAACCATATGATTTTATTTACTTTTCTTT